CCCAAGGCCATAACGGCTAGTTTGGGGCCCAACATTTTTTTTTTAAAATTGGACCGTTGGACCAGGACCCGGCCCCGACCCGGCCGGGTCAACTTTTTCAGGAACCGTACCCGCCCCTCCCCTCCCCGCCGGTTTGGATCTACACCCGGTCCCGGACCGTCCGACCGGGCCGGTCCCGGGCCCGCACAGTAGCGGGCCGGGCCGGGTCACGGGCCAGGTGGCCCGAACCGAATCCACCCCTAGTTGCACCCGAGAACCTGTGAATAGAATTCCAACTCATCGACACCCTCTGTTACATTAATGTTTGCTTCGAAATATATTTATTATTGTACATATCACACCATTATTATTTAATTTAAATAAAAAAAAAATTAATTTAAATAAATTTGTAATGGTTTTTTTACAAAAATGTTACTAAAATAAAGCGTACTATTTTTATTAAAATTTAATAATAACATATTGGGGGTTTTAAAAATGTTACTAAAATAAAACATAGGAAAAAGGGGCAAATAAGCCCACGTACTAACCAAAAAAGGTCAAACTAGACTTAATGAATAAGATTCTCAAAAAAAATCATCAAAAAATTCCACTGGGAACTGCCCCAAATGGCGACGACCGGACAGAGCCTCTTATTTTTATTATCACTACAAAAAACATGAGATTGACAGAGATTTTGGCAAGGATTTGTCAGGGAATTTGGTAGGGATATGCCAAATCCGTGCCAAAAACACTTTGGCACGAGCTATTTGGCACGAAAAATCGGTAAATCAGTGTCAAATTCTGTGTCAATCCCGTAATTTTTTGTAGTGTATTATATTGTACAAATAAACTATGGTGTGCTTTTGAATGTTTGATATTTTTACGATCTTAATATAAAGATAAAATATATTTTACTATATTTTGGGAAGATAAACAACATTATCTTATTTGTGCATTTACAGATTTGTTTTTGGTCTATTTTCCGTTTAATGTAACATATAATCAATTATATCGTATGTTTAGTTTTCTAATAATAGTGCGAGCTATGACATTATTGATACGTTATGAGGTAAATTTTTCACAACAATACAACTAGTAGAGTTGGTACACCATTAATGGTGCTCACATAATGTCAGCGGTTCTCATCCTCGTGGAGGTGATGGTTTTTATTAAAGCTTTTGGTGAGGGCTACGTTTGGGTGGCCGATGGCTTCCTGCATGGCTTGCCATTAATTAATGCAAAAATAAATAAATATGGCAGCAACCGAGCAAGTGAAGATGACCTGCTATAATAGGTTACTTTTTGGTATTTTGGGTTATATGATTGTTTTTAAAAGTAGATGGATTTGTATGACCCTTTTTATAGTACAAAGATTTAAGTGACCGATTTGTAATTGTAGAAAGGTGTATTTGACCCTTTTTTCTTTAAACATCTATCGTTTAAGAAAAATGGTGGGTGTATACTTTATTGTGTATACTATTCACACTTTGTCGAAATGTCAAAACATCTACGGAGTATCATTTTAGATTTTTTGTGTACACTAAAAAGTTCCTCATTTCATAAAAGAATTAGCACTTTAAATTATAAATGTCGTGTTACTGTGTTAGTGGTTATTGAATGAAGAATTGGTTATTACTTTGGTTTAATTAACATTTCGACATGTATAGTGTTGATTTATGAATTCGAGTACTCAATAAGCAAATAGGGTTTGGCGGTGCAAATTAGAGTTGGACTCGGGTCGGGCCACCCGGCCCGTGGACCGGCCCGGCCCGGTTCTCGGGTCCGGGTCAGGCCTAGGCCCGGTGGGTAGTGCAGGTCCGGACTCGGGTCTCACATTTGGCGAACCGGTCCGGTCGGGTCGGGTCGGGTCTGGGTCCGGGCCAAATTGATTTTTTTTTTGCATTTTTTGGGGTTCCACCTGGGTTGGGGTTGATGGTTAGGAGGGGTTTTGGGGGGGGGGGGGGTTGGGAGGGTGGGGGTGAGGGGGGGGGGGGGGTTAGGAAAGCAAAAAAAAAAAAAAAACCCAAATCGGAGGCCCGGCCCGGCCCGGACCCGGTGGCTACCCGGGCCGGTCCCGGGTCTACCATTCCTAAACCGCCGGCCCACCCGGGCCTAGGCCCGACCCGGACCCGGCCCGGACCCGAGTCCAACCCTAGTGCAAATGGATAACATGCCCTTTTTAATTTTTTACATACGACAATGAAATCATATGATAATAAATAGGGAAAATCGCACATTTCGTCCTCCAATTATCCACCATATTGAAATCCTAGATCCGTGTTTCTGATTTTTTAAATGTCACCCCCGAGTTGTTAGAGTATCTATGAATGTCACCCTTGCCGTTATAAATATTACAAACTCCACCTGTCTTTCATTTTTTTCAGGGTTAAACTTGTCGTTTCACATCCTTTTCGTTTAAAGCCCTAATTCAAGTTCTCCCCAATCCTTTTTGCATACAAATTGAACAAGGGGACATTTATTCTTGTTAGGGCATTCATTAAGGAAATGTGTTGAACTCCCGCAACTATGGCAATATGGCATATACAATAATTTGTCAACATATTTGTCCTGCAAAATTAATCAAACCACAAAGATCATACCACCCACTCAACCCTAGACATCTGATTCATTTTTTGATTAAAAAAGAAGAACAAAATATTTATACACATCTGAAGACGAAGAACGGACGAAAAAAGAGAGCTCTTCAAAACTCCAAACAGCTGAAGAACATACCAAGGAAGAGAGCTTTTGATTCAGGACGAAGGAAGAACTGGAAGAACGGTTGAAGAGCTTTTCATTCCCAAGCAACGAATTAAGTATGGTTTGTATTCGATTAAGGGCTTTAAACGTCAAAGAATGGGAAATGACAAGTTTAACCCTGAAAAAATGAAAGAGAGACGGAAGTTTGTAATATTTATAATGGCAGGGGTGATATTTATAATTATTCTGACAACTCGAGGGTGACATATAAAAAACCTGAAATACGGGTCTGAGATTTCAATATGGTGAATAATTGAGGGACGAAATTTGCGATTTTCCCTAATTAATATAAAGAAAGATAAATATTATGAAGTTTTTTGTTGTTGTAATCACTTAATCATTTGAACTATTAATTTCATTTACAATGCAAATAACACGCTGTCATGTTTTATTTTTGCCATAATATTCTGATTTTTTTAATATAAAATAAGATATTCTATAAATGTTTAAATAAACATCCAACTAATTTTATTAAAAATTAATTCTTAAAAGAATTGATCGGTGCTATTAATTTCTCTATTTTGAGCCCATTATTGAACAGTGGCTTAATATACAAGAGACATGATTCAATTGATAAAGAGACAATGAATCTTGTTAAAAAATTCATCCATAAGCATGAAAAATAACTACAGACCTTGTTAAGATAGATGTTCAGATATATTGAAGGTGGTCTGAAACGTTTGGCTTTCCTTTTGTGGAAGTGGATAGCTCTTATGTGGTTTCAGGTGGGTCGAACTGGGGCGGTAATCAGGTGGGCCTTACTTTCAATTTTATTCCGGCCCAGGTTAATCAATCTCCTAAGGAGGTGGCTAAGCTGGGTCTTTTCGGGCCTTTTTCTTGGAGGATTGGCGATTTGTTGCCAAAGAATCTTGTTGGGTCTATTATTTTGGACTCTCTTGACACGCCATATATATTGTTTGCTGAGTTTTTTACTTAGCTGCTTTTTGTATTTATTTGGAGAAGTTTGGTTTGGCCCCCTTCTCCTTGTGTAATTTCATTTTATCTTTTAATAAAATCTTGGCAGTTGACGCCAGGCACCTGATCCATTGATTTTGGTGGTTTACCTTCTCGGTTTAAAAAAATTGCATGTGCTAATTATTCTAGCTATTAAATGCAAGCAAATAGAGCCCAAATCCCATTTTAATTGAAGCTCTAGGGGTATGAACGTGTTTTCAAAACTCTAAAGCATATCTCATCCCACTCATACCACTATAAATTAGGATCTTAATTGAGACAAAAAGAAGAGAGAAACTTCAAGACGAAGAAACATTGCAACGAAGCTTTGAAGAACTCTCGAAAGCCTTGAACGATTCCAAAGACGAGAAAGAGACCAAACCACAAAATTTATCAAGAATAGACGAATAATCCTTTGTTATTTTATCCATTCTTGACAAAATAAGTCTAAAAATCGAAGAACAAGGTTTTGAAGATTCGAATATCTGAAGAACGAACATGTGAAGATTTGAAGATATTTCTATATGTGAAGATTGAATCTAGATTCAATTGAAGATCAATCCATATATCATGAGAAACCCTTTAACAGAAGATCAAACTATAAAATGATTCTTTTGTTGAAAGTCAAGCTATTTGCAAATCGAAAACCCTTCGCACTGAATTTTGCATTAAAAACAATCAAAGATTCAAATAACCAAGCTTTGAAGATTTGAAGGTATAGATAACAAAGTTTTGAGGATTTGAATATCTGAAGAGTAAATGTTCGAAGATTTGAAGATCTGAAAAATGAATATTCGAATATTCAAAGATGTCAAGAACAAAGACTTAAAGAAGAGAATAACGTTCGAATAATTGAATAATTAAAATTTTAATTTCAAGTTAAATTCTTTAATTATATGGAAAAATTGACAATAATAATCTAACTTTTGATCGGTTGATCACTTATACCAGATTTTTTGCGTTTTCTTTGAAAACCTCTGACTACCAAGTTTTTTTTATGTTTTGAGCAGATTTGTGAAATGTGAGAATATCTATAAAAGCTTTTCAAAGAAAAAAGAAAAAAACTGAAATTGTAGATCATCAACTGATCACACAGTACAATGAGAAAAGATGACTGCAAATGTGATGTTATTCCGGTATTACTAAAATTGAGATTATTATTAGTGATGAAAACTGAAAAGTAAGATTATTGTTGTCAACTTTTCCTAATTATATTGATTTTAAATTGCTAAAAGTGAAAAATTAGAGAATTCATATTAAGAGATTGAATCAATATTTATTACTGAGTATATTTTTTGATTTGCAAACAATTTTAAGTAAAAAATATTTAAGTTTTTTTTTCCCACAATACTACTACAACACAATTACAATACGAATTACGATAAATATATCAATTAATTTGGAGGGAGTCGGTACAATTTTTTAGCCCTGTGATTTACATACATAACAATAAAATCTTTCATTTCGTTCTTAATGGACATTCATAATGATAAATATAAAAATGTTTCCGTTGAGTTGTGACTGTTTATTTTCAACTGAATTTTCGGCAAACATTATAATCCTGATAAAGTGTGTATAAAATCTACTCCTCAGGTGATTGGTGAAAACCAAATCCAGTACAGACATATACGGGCGGGGCGGAGTTGAAGCCAGTACCGGATCATTTCATCCATTCATATTCAGATCCGATTACAAAACCCGAGTACATATACCAGTGACCCATATACGATAAAAAAAGAGCATTTCGATTCAATCATCTCTGGTGCACCATCATACGGCTGAAGTCCTCGAAGCATACGAACCCATCCCTGTTCTCATCAACTCCTGCTATCATGCGCCGGCAGTCCTCTAACGTACACCGGGCGTCGCCGATGGTTCTGAAAACGCTAAACAGCTCCTCCGCCGTAATCCTCCCGTCGTGATCCGTGTCAAAGAAATCGAATGCGTCCCGCAGCTCGGAGTCGCACGACGGCGGCGCGAAAGCGGAGCTGAGCGCGCAGAAATCCTCGAGGCTGATGCATCCATCTCCGTCCCGGTCCACATCACTCAACATCATCCTCAGCTCCTCCTCGCCGAGCGGCTCGGCTCCAACCCGGCTCAAAAGAGCGCCCAGCTCCTCCTTCCTAATTTTCCCGTCCTCGTCGCTGTCGATCAGCTTGAACGCCTGAACAAGCTCGGCGTATACCCCGGCGGAAATGTCAGACCACTCCTCAGTGGAGATCTCATTAGTGACCGCGGGCAAGACGCTGGTGGGCGTGGACAGCCCGCCGGTGGACTTCCTGTATCCGGATTGAGAGTCGGAATCGGAAGAGGGGGAGGACGGGCCATCAGATCTGACTGTGGATCGAGGTTTCTGGGATTTAAAGAGCTTGCCTGGATTGGGGATGCTTCTGATGAGCTTCATGGGGAGTGTGGGGCAGAGCTAACGGGAGGAATGGAGAGGAAAAGGGTAGTTGCGGAGAAAGAGAGATGATGAAGAGAGGTTTAAATGGGAGAGAAGAGAAGGGAGGCATAGTGAGTTTCCAGGAAGCTTCGTAGGGAGTAGAGAGAGAGACAGGTAGGGGACGGGAGGAGGAGGATTAGTCGGTATATATACACGTATAGTACTCCGTATATAGCACTGTATGCATATACGGACAACTGCCAATTATACGCGTCTAATCTGTCATGTTTAACAGTGTATTCAACTAATGACTATTGGAGCTTATATAGACGGTTGATCCAAAAAAGGTGGAATCTCCCATCCCCGGAGCCCCCACATCTCGACCCGACAGGGCACGTGAGAGGATGTAAATCACGGTGATCCAGTCAGCGAAGTGGTAGTAGACTCATATAACCGTGTGCGTCAGAAGTCCAGCCCATTTCAGAGATGGTAACCTCCACACTGTCGCTGTGGATTCAAACCTTGGTCCCTTAAATTTCTCATCACTCAACCAACTGAGCTACACGTGAGGAAGCTTATATAGACCGTGTTTGCGTTTACGTTTGCTTCTCAAAGTTAATTTTAAAAAGATCATTGAAAAACTGATTTAAAGTAAAAACATATAAAGTTTGAAAATAGAAGTGATTTTATTTAAAGGGTAAAAGTTAGAGTGTCTGATAAAAAAATGATTTATAATAGAGATAATTACCCTATGTATTACCAAAACTCCATCACTTTCCTAATCTATGACCTAGTAAGTTTTTTTCTCAAAATATAATTAAAATTTGTAATAATTAATTCATATATTAATAAATAATTAAATAAATTATTTTTTATGACTAATATGTCCTTACACTAGGATTATAAAACCCTAATATCCTATTGCTCCCAACCCTAAACCTTGTAGCAATGTTCCCTGTGCGTACATATGCCCACCCTGCCGCCGCCGGACATACAGTGACGCCGCCGCCCGATGTACAACAACAACGCGGCTCTCTGTACAGCCACACCGTCGCCGGAGAGGATGTCAGCCGTTCGTGCCAATCTAAGGGCCTGGGAGCAAAATCGGCAACCCAAAATAGTCAATCTGAGAGGACGTCCATCCGATCTAGGTGCCATGGTGTCTTCAACGGTCGTCGCTCGCACAACAGCCTCCGCCCACAGTACAGCCGCGACGCCTCCACAACCGTCCGGCCAGAGAGCAAACTCGTCGATCTAGAGCCATGGATGGGATTCGCCAGATCTGGAGCCATGGAAGGGATTTGCCTCACTGGCGGATAGGTCTGTCCTGAAGCGGGAATTCGAAAGCCTCAGGAATTTGAGTGTTAAAAAATTGAGGATTGAGAATTAGAGTTTGAAAAGTATTCTTCTTAATGTCCTAAACGGCGGCTTCAAAATTAGAGTTTGAAAAGTGTTCTTCATTTTTCTAGTTTTGAGATTATGTTCGGTTGAATTTAGGTTTTGTGGGCATTGAACATTGGTAGTGAATGTTGAGTATGGCACTGAAAGTGAATTGAATGCATTGATGAACTTTGTTGTGTAGTGACTATGACCCGTAGTACAGTAACATAGAGCAGTAATGACGTCATGAAATGCAATATACTTAATTAGACATAAAATAATAAAATTGTAAGAAATAAAAAATAAAACTACAAATAAATTCCTAAAGTAATGAGAAGAGAATTAATTTTGGCGGAAGCGCAGTGATTATAATCGGATGTGCAGTAATATAGTGCAGTAATGTCGTGCAATAACGGCAATATAAACTGCAATAATTTTAATTGAACGAAATTAGTGCAAAATGCACATATTTTCCATAAGGATATTTTTGTCATTCAACATTTAATTACAAACGAAATTTTGTTTTTTTTTTTGGATTTTCAATCATAAAAATGTCTAAATACTAAGTTAGTCATATTTAGGGAAACTCAATGAGTTTTAGTCGTATACTAATAAATTACCCTTTATAATACTATCTCCGTCCCGGTGCACTTTACCAAGTGCAAAGTAGGTGAGAAATAAATAGTAAAAATTGTGTGGTTGAGATTTGTGCAGAGGAGAGAAAAATGTGCAGAATCACAAATTAGTTACTTTAATAGAAAAGTGACAAAGTTTTTTGGGACATCGAACAAACTAAAGTTCTCAAAGTGTAATAGGACAGGAGGAGTATAATGTTTGGTGAAAATACAACTATGTCCTTGCTACCTAGCATATACTCCGCTTTTCATCCCATATTCCAATGAGCCAAAATCTGGCCGGTGACCACATGAGGCACAGACAGCTATTGAAGATTCAAAAAAAGAAGAAAGCTGAGTGATGTTATGACGTATACCGTAACACATGGCAGCACCACAAGGGCATTTTTTCATGCGGTTGTGCGAGGTGGTAGACAACTTGTTTGCGGGGACAGACAAATGTACAAAAAAGATGTACATATTTTGTGTACACCACACATTTTTTTTCCATATGATTTAAATAAATGTACTTCATTTTTACCTCATCCCTAATGTGTGATCATAAGTAAGACAATTCATTTAAGTGGGATACCCCAAATTGGTCTTATTCAAATAACAAAACCTATAAGCAACTAAAAGCATGACTGATGTAGCTTCAGACTTTTAGCTTAAATCTGCTTAAATTATGCAGAAATTTTCTTTTACAAACACTTTTTTAAGATTTTATCCTAAAAAAAGCTTAGAAATGTTTTTTAAGCATTAGTAAACACTGCTATAGTTATTTGAATGCTCCTGTTACATGTGAATCGGAATAAGTTATGAGTTGGGCTGATTTTTTGAAGCTCAAATCTAGTCCACCCCTAAGTAGTATAAATCAACAATTTTAAGATACTATTGAGATTTCATACCTTCTATACCTTCTACTAATATTACTTCTTTCTTGAATCGAGTGTGTATTTATGTGTGTGTTTTGTGTTTGCGAATACTTGTTCCAATAATCATGATGAAACTTTATGTTACCATTAAAATTTGAGAGGAAGTGTAGTGCGTGTGGATAAGGGAGCTCAAACAAACTTTAATCATCAATGACATATTTTTGTTGTGAAAGAAATATACCCTTAGAGGTGCGAACGGATTGAACACCTAGAAAATAGTGGAGATCACCCAGATCTTTAAAGACAAAAACCTGAGCAATAAGTATAATAAAGTGTCGAGCAATTGAAGATATTTATCTGTGATAATAATATCATCTATATAAAGTAATAAATAAGTGATAGAGTTATTCTGATGAAAAACTATGAGTAAGAAGGAAGCTATTAAACATATGAAATCAAGTCCGAGAGGCCTCCTTAAGACCATAAATGGCCTTGCACAAATGACACAAATGAGTAGAGAATTGAGGATGACTACAGCCCCACGATTGACACAACTAAACTTCTTCAAATATATATTTTCCAATCGCCATGAATACAATCTGGATCAATAATCTACAGGTCGAATCCGCTATCAACATCTACTAGTGGTCTTGTTTGGCAATCAAATGTTAGCAGTTAGCTGGTTATGATAGCTGTTTGACAATAGCTGGTTGTGTTAGCTGTTTTGATTGGTTGATTATGTTAGTTTATTGTCAGAAATTGTTTGGTAAATTAGTTGTTCCAAATTAGTTGTATGTTTAAGTGTAAAAGATTTATAAGGATATTTTTTTTATCTATTGTTAATAAAACAATGTCATCTACAATTAATTAGAGAGTACAAATCACTCGTATTTTAGAAAATTTAAAAAAGTGATAAATACAACTACATGACAAATAAAATAAAATTTGGTATGATTATTATTTTTTTGTTAGAACGTTAATAACCTCTTTTTGAAATCACACTTGAAAAATTTCAATATAGCCTTAATACATACGGAGTGCAATTTACGTTAGTTACACGTACTTCCTCCGTTCCATAAAAGTTGCAACATTGGAATTTCTGCACTATTTACACACCTTACTTTGACTACTATTTTCTAATAATATATATAATAAAATATTATGTATAAAATATTAATAAATTTGTATTAATGTAAATTTTCAATATATCAACTTTTTTTAATGTTTACTAATACGTAAATAAATATAATTACAGTCAAAGTTGCGTGTTGACAAACATGAAAGTCAAACTGTTGCAACTTTTATGGAAAAGAGGATAATATATCGAATCACTTATAGTTGAAGGATGTCTGCCTTCACAAGCATTGTTAAAATTATGGAAAGGAAAAATGAAAACGCCGATGTTAAACGCTGGGGTAGGCAGCTTTTCAGATTTCGGCTTATTGGATCCAAAAATCCAAATCAACCATCCATTTACCAAACATTGATGTTGGCTGTTTACAAAGTCAAAATTATTAATTGTGGTCAAAGATGCCAAAAATCGGCGGATAAGCCATTTTTACCAAACAGGTTAATATAATCGCTAACCTGTGATTACCAAATACCCCCACCATTAATAAATGATGAGAAAGGAGGACTACAAAAACTCTTCTAGCTTCCTATATGACATTTTATGTCCAACTTTTTTATTTACTGAAATCCATGTGTCGGGGCATACATTCTCATAATTTTAGAGTTTATGAACTACCCTCTAGAACCCCTAGACATGTAAATTCGAATCTGATCACAGTCAGTCTCGTCGGTACTGATTCCGAAGAATGAATCCAGCATGACTTGCATCACCTCACCTGCCCGTATCTTTGTTTCCACGTTACTTGTATCACATTTTATCTTCATTACTCCGTATTTGGCATCCTTTTAAATAAATTTAAGTATTTAACTACAATATTTTACTCCCTCCGTCCCGAAAAGGTTAGCCAAATTTCTTTTTTGGATGTCCCAAAAAGATTTGTCATTTCCATTTAAAGTAAGAAATATGTGGCTAAAATTAATTCTCTCTCCTCTGCACAAATTTCAACAACACAGTTTTACTTTATTAATCCACGTGAAAGTCAAAATTGGCCAACCTTTTCCGGACGGAGGGAGTATTTAATTGAAAACGTGTAAGCAATAAGCTTAGGGAGGAGATAGAATAGAGCCGGAAGGAGCTTGCAATTCAAACTACCGAGAATCTGCGTGATTAGTACATATGGTTTAATGTACTAAACTCTCTTAGATATATAAATTTTGTGCATTATGTCAGCGTGGTTAAAAAAATGTGTCAAACCCCCTTGTGTTATAATTATTCATGCGTAAAACTCTCTCCAAGAACAAATTTTACAAATTTGAAATCATTTATCTTAATAATTTGAATCAATATGCAAGTAGCTTGTTAAGATGTCTAAATTATACAAAATTAACAATCATTTTTCATTTATTTGATAATTAAATTTGTTCATAGAGGAGATTTTGCATATGAGTAATTATAACACAAGGGAATTTGACGCATTATTTAAATCACACGAGGCTGATGCAAAAAATTTATACAAAGTACATAGTATTTCACAAGAGAATTTAAGGGGCGTTCTCAATTAGGATTCTGTATGATTTTAATAGATTGTTAGAATGTGATGGAATCCGGCAAAATCCCACTACCCTCAAAATGTCCATGGATTTTAAGGCTAAAATGCAAAGGAGATAATACATCCCAAAATCTGAACATTACCTCCGGATTTCAATGTATTTGCTGTAGAGTAGCAAAGCAAAGCAAGAAACAACAAAGGAGGTCTGCATAACCACCACCGGGTTGAATATTTATTGCCACTTCTCGGTCGTTTCCTTCTTCGGCTGCGCAACTCCACTGACTCGGCGAGAAGGTCCATCTCCTAACCAGAAGGAGGGTTTATTGACTTGGTCTGGAAGAAGGTTCTCCGGTGTTCACGGTTCGTGGTCGGCGGGTTTCCCCTGTTTTATCCTTCCGGCTTTGGACTTGGTCAGAAGGTTCTCTGTTTTTGTTGGTGGTGTGGATCTGATTCTATCCGGCGATGGGTGCGGGCTTAACGGGTTTTCCGATTGGTGTTTTGAAAGAGACGTATGCATGATTTCTGGTTAACGGGGCGAAACTTTTTCATCAATGTAAGGGATGAAAATTTTTCACTAGTGTAGCACGGAGAATTTTGTTCCGCTAGGGTAGCAAAGCGATTTTTTTGCTAGTATAGGGCTCTGCAACAATTTTTTATTCAATTTTTTTTTATTAATACATACACGATGACATTTAAAATTATTACATTCTAAGTTTAGACAATGGAAAAATAACTTTGATTTTATAATTAAAATGCTCTAAAAAGTATTGATACATTAAATCGTAAGAAATAACAACCCAAAGAAAAGTTATTTGAAAATAAAAAGTTTAAAAGGTATACATCCACAAATACTTTTTAAATAACTTTTGCCTTGTTTAACCTCATGAATCTTTATCAGAATAAAGATTTGGTTTTTGAATTACAATTTTTGTCTAAAAAGGAGGGTGCTTGTGAGTCATGAAGAGTTTTCTTATTATTACAATAGTATGTATGTCATTATTATTTTTAGAATAATATTATATTGATGATTCATATATATGGTGCATACTATAGTTGCATTAATGGTAAAGTAAGTTAAAATTTATTATCTATGCAATAATTAGTTTGTAGAAC